AAGAGTAAAGAAACATATGGTACTGGTTGCTCAGTTTGGAAGTTTGATGGGAGTCTGTTTGACTCATTCTTTTCTTCCTGTGGCTGGAAGGTTGCTTGAGAACATGAATGTAAGTTGACATGTAAAGGAAATCCAGGTAAAATGAGAATGATTAAATGCAGAAAGGCTGAAACCTTTGAATAGGTGTCATTCTAGGTTGTTAATGTCTTGATTGTTTGAATTGAGCTTTACTGTTAGACTACATGACCCTCAATAGACTGTCTATATTAACTAACATAGTTTATTGCAAGAGATTTGATAGTTTTTCATACATTCCAGCAGTATTGCTACCCTGATATTCTAGAGTTTTTGGTAGTTTTTGGGACATGTGTGCGTGTTTTCTCTGTGGCTCTTATAACTAACTGATGAGGTACACAGGACAGGCAATATGTACCAGTTTTCAAGATATAAAATTAAGGATTAGGGAAATTAAGTTGACGTGTCTGATATCACTTGTGTGGTAATCAATCGGTAGACATGGAATTAGGATTCAGATCCTGGGACTCCTAGACCAGTGCTCTTTCAAGTATTGCATGCTTCCTCAGTCAGTATCATTGCTTTTTTGCAGCGGCAGGAGCATTACTGAGTACATTTTAAAAAATGTATGTATTTTTATTTTCAGAGAGGATTTCATAGAGGAAGAGAGAGGGAGAGAGAGAGATAGAAACATCAATGATGAGAGAGAATCATTGATCGGCTGTCTCCTGCACAACCCACACTGGGGATCAAACGCACAACCCAGGCATGTGCCCGGACAGGGAGTCAAACCATGACTTCCTGGTTTGTAGGTCGATGCTCAACCACTGAGCCATGCCATCTGGGCACTGAGCAAATTTTAAGCTCCAAGCAAGTAGAAGAGTAGTCTGTTTTGTTTGTTGCTGTCTATCCCATGATCAGCAAAAATAATTGTTGAATTGTAGTATCTGATTTATCACTTTTTGTTAGTAATGCCTAATCACACTTCTGCACTTGGTATTTATTTAACCAATTCTGTTTAAAGCATCATTTAATGCCTTGTGTCTGTATTAACACCTAGCAGAGAATTTGCCTTATTTCTGTTTTCAATCATTCTCTAATGAAAATGTCATTTTAAATTCCAGGCATATGTAAAAGCTATTTAAGTCCATTTCAGTCCAAAAATACAGTAGCCAGACATCCTGTCCTTCCCAGATATCTTGGGTAGAAAACCAAGGGAGAACTCCTGGCAAAAGGTATCAGGAAATAGCCTTTCCTTAAGACATTTCCTTGGGAGGGGAGGATGATGT